AAGCTGTTGGAAGGGTAGAAGAGACAAGCTCACACTACCTGTTAGCAAACAGCTGCTCTGAGCTCAGATGGCTCATTCTCTGCCTCGTCCCCTGGGCAAGCCAAGCAACACCAAACTGGCCACTGCATCACACTTCTTTTTAACTAGGGATCAAGAAAAGATGCCAACTACTGCAGAGCTGTCAGGAACGGTTTAGCAGATGCAGGGGAAAACTGACAACGGAGGGCTGGGGCGGGCACCGCAGACAAAAGGCTGAGAGGAAAAAAAGGGATGGAGTCCTGATGGCAGAAGAAAGAGCTGACACAAGACAACTCCTCAAGAAACAAGGCTGACTAGTTCTGTTGCACTTGGAACAATTTTTTCATTAGAGGACTGGCAAGAGAGCACATTTCATGCCATACAAAAGGCACATGCCCACCTGTTCCTATAAGCTAGAATGATCAATACAGTGCAAAGCACCATATAAGAAAATAATCTTTCTACTCAAGCTGAGCACTTAGTTTTCCAATAATTTTTATCCAGTCTGAGCAGGATTACCCATTCCTCAACAGGAATTCTACTTATTTATAGTTAGAGAAAAGGATCTCATTTAAGATGATAATATGCATGCTTACATTGAGACATGACAACACAACTAACTGTACTCAGAGTGGTTCGATGTCTGTACTTTTAAATTCCTGAGAGGCACATAAACATAGTTAAATGTAACTAATGATCTAACTTGTTTAATCTGCTTTCCTTTTCTTGCAAAGGTAACCCTCTTTTCCTACGGGAATGCTTTTTACATGCTTAACATGCAAATGTTGTCCTTCAGTGCTGACACTTCAGCATTTTCTGTACTTTGAAATCAGAAGTTACTGACACTCTGCTGTATCACCTTGCCATTGCTTGGGAGATACTGCATTAGCATTTTCAGTAGAGATTTCTTCTGGAGGAGGCAGATGGAGTTACCTTCTCTCTGTTTATACAACAGACTCCTCAGATGGAAGCATTACAACAGATCACCATGTGTTTCTCATATGGATTGTGCTTTGGGGAAATCAGAGCTATCTCCCTACTGACAAGAGCTATTGCAGTCTCCTGGAACAGCAAGGAGTGTAATTTGAACTATTAACATGAAGTTATGCATTCTAAATTACAAACTGCTTTGTTTGCCAGGATTTTAGATGCACGAGACATTACCTTTTATTAAGAAAAAAAGCAAACCCTTCTGCAACTAGATGCTATGAAAAGAATACATAACTAGTTACTCCCATAGCTTTGAAAATCCCATTTTCCCATACTTAGCAGAGTATGATGCATGAAAACAGTCATACATTCTCAAGCCTAGCAAATAGGTAAAACAAGTCATTGTCCTTAAAACTCTTGCCCCAGGAGAAGAGTTAGGACTGTGTTTTTCAGTAAAAACCTAACCTGAACAAGATTTTTAGTTATTAACTTTTTTTTTTAAATAAAACTAGCCAATACAGTTTAGTTAAGATCTGCATACAATTCAGCCAAAGTTAACTTTTCTTTTTCTCAGTGCAGAATGCACTACCAAAGTCTGCTAATGTTTTAGCAAAACGGTAGGAAACTGGCTGGCTTCACCCACCAACTCTGACTACGTGTGACAAAACAGTGTCTTCTGACCACCCTCCAGCCAGTCCGTATTAGAGCCCATCACCTACAAAAACAATAGAGGGGATAAATAATAAAATACAAGTCAGCCATAAGTGAAAATGCACCACAAGAGCAGCGCTCCACTCTCTCCGGGCATCTGAGAGATGTGGTAAGCAGACACAATCAGTCCAATTCAACAACAGCATAGTATAGCCATTGTTCACAAAAGCGATGTTACAAGCAAAACATGTTTTGATGACAAGAAAGAACACATGAAATAGTTTTAAACTAACAAAAAGCTATTTTACAACACCCTTTATGTATTGCTAGGTGTGCTTTCTTGTAAACAGAGCTGTGGGCAAGTTATGCATGAAAAGAAGAAATAATCTAATAAGAAAGTGTTCATGTTTTTCTACTTCAAAGCACCTAAACCTCTGAATGACATGCTGCCTTGAGTCTTTTGCAGTTCCTTCAGTTACACATGTTCACAGAACTTTTATACTCTGCTGACATTCACACATTTGCTTACACACATTTGGCTGTTTTCACCTTTCTAATTAGCTTAATAGCTAATTTACCTGATGGATCACAACTACACAGCAACAGTGGTCTAAATAAGCCAGTGTTCAACAGCTTCAGAGAGAGATAACGACGCTGGCAGTTTCCAAGGGAGGAAAACAAAAGACGAGCTCACGAGTCTCCTTTCATCTTATCCATACCAATTCTCCTCAGTGTTCACAGCTGGCATGTAAGTAACACAATTCAGGGTTATAGAAGAGACCTAACGAACTAAATACACATTGGCAGTGAATTACAGAGTAAGACTGAGTCCATTACACACCAAAAGCAAGACATTGAGCAATATGTCTTGCTGCAGCAGAGGAGGATGTGGCAAGCAGCACAGAGAAGCAAAACTGAAAGGGAAAGGGTGATGTGATGAAAGCAAGAGGCCCAACTTTACCATTTTCTTTATTAGTAATATTTTATGATACTACAGTAAGCTTGGCTTCCCACTTGATTTACTAACTGACTATATATGTTTAACCTTTAATAAACGAGGAAGGACTACAAGGAGGAAAAAAAAAACCAGGAAGAAGAAATGGTTGAGGAAATAAAGGCTTTCTCTCTTCCCATTTCCTTGTTAGCTTCGCATCTTAACATTTATCTGATCTTTAAGTATAATTTTTGAAAAAGTACTGGTGTCTGTGGGGTTCCAGTTTTTCTTTTAGTATTTACTTGAAACTTTCTATTGTGTCTTCTCTTTTCTAAAGCTTTCCTTCCTCCATCTCTTTTTCCTTCACCAGGCACACATCAGCCTTTTACCAAAGCCACAAGCCCTGCTTTTGCACCCGCCCTATGTGACCATCTGCAGAGACCAGTATCACCTCATTCATCAGCTGTGTGCTGAAGGCACATCCTTGCTCTTCTTCATAGTATGTAGTGCAGTAGTTCTCAGAACAAATAGAACATAAGGAGCATTGAGAGAAAGTAAACATACCTGCCAAGAGAAACAGAAAATCCTGTATTCCACTATAAATCCTTTTTATGCTACTTTGAACTCAACTGCAGTGGAAAAGCACACAAAGGAAAAAACCCATCACACCAAAAAGACCTCATAAAAACACAAACCAACTGTAAAATTCAGTGACGGTAACAGAAGCCATTAAGTAATTTTCTTATTAAATGACATCTTTTCTTAATAGTCTGTATGTGCAGACGTTAATAAAGCTGATTTGTGAGCAAAAAGCACCAGATTTATAGCTGCAAAAGTTCTTGCACGAATAGGAGCCAACTCTTTCAATAATTTTCACACAAGTGACATTCTAACGAACTCAGAAGGGCTCTCTGCAGCTTCTCTCTGCTTACGAAGGAGAAATCATTCACCAGCACTCAGTCCTGACCCACTCTGTGATCGAAACACAAAGCTGGGACTTCGGGAGCTTGAGGTTCTGCTCCCAGTTCAGCCAGAGACCACCTGTGCAACCCTAGGCAAGTCTCTTAATATCTTGGTTTTTGTTCTTTGCTTAAGAGAAGAAATGAATAGCCCTAATCTGCCTTTTGTCATGCTGATCAGACTGTAACGGGTACAGAAAACCTGTAAAATGTAAGCCCCTTTCAGGACTACTGCGATAACAACCCATACCTCCAGTACTGAAGATTGTCTTAAACTTGGTTCCAAGTGTTTATAGTTTTAACCACGATTTTTGAATATACAGACGTATTAACAACTCTCTCATGTCAACATTTCACAGAGTATCTCAACAAGCATTATTTTACAACTATATCTCTACTATTTAAAGCCCAAGTAACTTTTTGCCTGTGGTTCATGTTCCAGTCCACATCTCTAAACACAAAAGGCTCTGAAATAACATCAGCATTCAGAAAAGTTATTAAAAACACTCCTTGCAGAAAAAGAAAAGTAACTGATTACTTCTAATTGACGTCCCTATAAGTTTACCCAGATATAAAGTATATGCAAATCTTTTATTTCTAGCCAGGGCTAACAAAGCACATAGTCTACACAAATAGCAAGTACAAGGACTTACAGATACTAGGCATACCTATATGTAGCTTAAAATAGTTCTTATTTTGAGGTTTGTTTTTTTTTCATTTCAGCTTCCTTACTCAAACATGCCAAACGCTCAATAACGCGTTCCTTAGTTTTCCTATGCTGCTTCCAAGTTTTACCAAGTCTGATGAATACTGCACATCACAGTTCCACTCCATTTACGCTGCCCAGAGAAAGCCAACATCCTCCCGAACTGAAGTTTCCTCCTGAAGGCAGTAAAGGGTAAATATCACCCTGACCGACGCGGGCTGCAAGTCAGATTTATATAAGGACAAGCCCTCGTCCAGAAAGCCTGGACACGGCCTGACAAAACCCCATAAGCCCTAAATCCTCTCCCCAGCCCGCTTAAGTTGAATGTTTCCAGCTTCATTATGCTTCAATGACACTGGGCATCTTATTAAAGGGGGGAAGAGGAGGGAGGGAAGACTCCTATACACCCATAAGGAGTTATTTGATATATCAGCAAGAGGGATGAACAACAGAAAAACAGAGAGGGGAAACCCCTCCTGGGGAGACACGAAGGGCTGAAGCCTTCGCGAGGTCCTTGTCCCCAGAAGAAGCGCCCCGGACCCCCCGCTTGGGCCTCCTTCTCTCCCCCAGACCCGTTCCTCGCTCCTCCACAGGCGGCTCCGGGCCGGGACCCCACGAGGCGCCTGAGGGCGGGAGGACAACAGGTAAACCCGGCCCCGGAGGGAGGGAACGCCCGAGGCAGGGGTCTCCTCCCGCCCGCCTGGAGGAGCCCGCCACGGCGCAGCGGAGGAGGCGGGCGGCGGAGGGTCCTGCCCGCCCGGGCGGCAGCTCCCGGCGCCCGCCACCCTCCCGGTGCACTCACACACACACAGCTCCACCACGTAGGCGTAGTAGGACCAGGCCACGACCAGGGCGATGAAGGCCACGGGCACCCAAGCCAGCACCTTCTGGCAGCACTTGAGGACGTGGGACGGCGCCATCTTCCCTGCCGGGCACCGCGGCAGCGCCGGCGCTGCGACGGGCGGGCGGCGGCTGCAGCTCCGGCCGCCGCTGCGGAGCCGGCCCCGGGCGGGCCCTGGGCGGGCCGCAGTGGGCGGGAGAGGGGCGGCCCCAGCGCCCGCTACCGCCTCTTTCCTGGGACCGCCGGAACGTCTCACTGGAGCACACAGTTGTTAGTGTTGGAAGGGGCCTGTGGAGATCATCCAGTCGAATCTCACTGCCAAGGCAGGGGCAGCTGGAGCAGGTGACATAGGAATGGATCCCGGTGGGTTTTGAATGTCTCCAGAGAGAGAGACTCCACGCCCTCCCTAGGCAGCCTGTTCCAGTGCTGTACCACTCTTAATGTAAAGAAGTTCTTGCTCATGTTGAGGTGAAACTTTTTGTGTTTTAGTTTATGGCCATTGCTCTTCGTTCTGGGCACCACCAAGAAGAGTCTGGCATCATCCTCTTGGCACCTGCCTTTGAGCTATTGATTTGCATTAATGAGATCCCCTCTAAGTCTTTTCTCTAGACTAAACAGGCCCAGCTCCTGTAGTCTCTCCTGATAAGACAGATGCTCCAGTCCCTTAATCATCCGTGTGGTCCTCCGCTGGACCCTCTCCAGTAGCCACTTGTCTTGTACTGAGGAGCCCAGAACTGGACACAGCACTCCAGACGTGGCCTCACTCGGGCCAAGTAGAGGGACAGGACCACCTTCTTCGACCTGCTCGCCACGCTTCCCGGTGCACTTCGGGCTCCCGCCACCTCCCGCCCCCCTTCTCACAGGAGGGGTGTTCGCACCGGCCCGGCCGCTTCGGGCCGGGATCCTCCCCAGCCATAAAAGCTGGTGTTAAAGCTCACTTTTGCTCTTTTCCGCGGTCCTGGCCGGGCGGGCGGGTCGGTGTGGGGCACAAAGGCGAGGACGAGTCCGCGCAGTCCTGCCTGGGCGCTGCCGGGCTGCTGCCTCTCCCCGCTCACCGAGCACGTACAGAGCTCAGACAGCTTGTTGTGTGCCTCAAAATGATATTTATTTATAAATAACTTACTGCTATTTGTTTTATTGGCTGTTTTCTGAACGGCGTGTAGAGCCTGACAGCCGCGGGCACGCCGCGACCTCGGCGGGCACCGCCACGACCTCGGCGGGCACCGCCACCGGCGCTGCCTTGCGGGGCCCAAGCTTCTCGAGCGCGGGCGTTTCCGACGCCTGAAATCTTTAGCCTGACTCTGGCATTGCTATCGGTGGGATCCCGGGGTCGGAACGGCTCGTGCCATGACCAAAATCCCCACTTCCCTCCCGGACCGGGGGGTGCACGTGCCGAGACCGCCGCCCCGGCTCCGCCGCCGCTCCCGCGGCGCTCTGGCGCCATCTGGCGGCTGCAGGAGGGGCCGAGCCGGGGCTGTGTTTCCGTAATGACAGAAACTGAAGTGAAACTGAATTAAACAAGGACAACATCGAGGTGGTTGTGAGGTGACAGAGAGGGATTATTTATACCCAGACAGCCCCCTTCCCCCCCCCCCCCCCCGCCCCCCCCGCTGAGGAGTTATGCTGCACGAGGAGCCCCTTGGCACAGCTGTCAGGAACTAATATCTTCCACTTCTGAAAGCCGCCTGGGACATCTCTACAAGGACCTCTGGAGAAGAAAACAGCTCCTTGGATAGAAACCAAGCAGGATGAAGGAAGCTCTGCTAGAAATCACCAAGGGCCTGTCTGGCTTCAAATGGCTGCAGTGCAGCTTGTGCAAACCCTGCCGCCTCAGATGTGGGGAGGGACAAATGATGACATTTGGAGCAAATTTTGGGAAGCTGAACAGGAACTGAGAATGCCACATGGGAATGGCTGCTCACCACAATCACATTGGATCCCATGACTATCAAATAGCGAAAAAAAAATGTCCCCTGTCCATTTTCACATCACACCTCCATTTCTGGCTGCCCACCTGCTTTAGCCACAGGAAAAAAATCTATAAGAGAAGTGAAATATTTCCCTTTGCAGCCTCAGCACCAATCAGGGTCTATTTCACAGTCTTCCAGATGTTTACTGGTCCTAGAGCAAGACACTGCAAACTCTCCAGTTGTTCAGAATTTCTCTCTTTACTATTTAGACCTTACATTCTACAACAATTTCATCTCCGTTTTGCTTTTGTATGTTTTTCCTCTCAAAGTAGCTCATCTTGAATTCCAAAATCATGCAATCCCCAGGCAGAAGCATCGCAACAGCCTCTTAGATGGACACTGATGCAAAATGATCATTTGTCTCATTCAGAATTCTATTTCTTGTAATATGAGACAAGTCAATTTTTTGGAGGCTTCATGTTTCTGATGTAGACATAAAACCAACTGAGATTGTGCAAGTATTTGCTCTTCACATTCCAGTAAAGCTCATGTAATCTTGTACACACCAACTGCAAGTCACTAATTGCCCTTGTTTGTGTTACGTCAAATTTCTAAATCGTGAAGATGCATTTTTGGTCAAACAGCATTTTGAAAAATTTTATTTCAGCCATATTGATTTATTCCTTGCTTTCCTAGTTTACTTTTGTTCAGTGATATTCATGTTTCCTGAATTTTTCCTTTAGTCTAATAGCATTTTGTTTCTTCTACTAGGTTTGTTTCTTTTAAGTTTAGGACCTATTATTTAATTAGTCTCCTTTTCTAAAGATTAGTGGCAACACATCACATTTTGTTATCCTTTCTTTTCAATAGCAAATGTAATCATCTACCCTGTGACTCATCTGCTGTTGCTCTAGGAATTGCCTTCTGTGCATTATTTAAGAGATGTACCCAATGTTTTCAGTAATATTTGTCATTCTAGTAGTATCAGTTTCAAAGTAGATTAAAACACAGTTAGATGCCACATAATTAAAAAAAAATCTGTATCCAGAAAAAAGAATTTTCAAACACTTTATTGGCAAGTGTTAAATTAAAACAATTGGTTTTCTTGGGGGTGATTTAGAGCTACCAGTTGTTCCATAGGGTAATATTAAAACTGATAAATTTCCTCTAAAGCAGTGGACCTGAGACATACAGTGTTGTGGTGCAACACCTCTGTAGTACATCCTTTCTCCAGGAAATTGGTCATTGGATGGTTCTGATTTCAGAATCTACTTCCTTTAGGTCCAAATTCACAACAGTTTTAAAACAGCTCCTCTCTAAGAGTTTTCACCCTTCACATAAAATAGCACATCAATTTAACAAAAAGTGGCCAAATGCAAGTACTTGTATCTGGGGGCCATTAAAAACAATGAAGAAAGGTGGCATTCCCAAAGTACAGGTTTAGTCCAGTGAGGTTCATCTTCTGTGTGCCCTTTGCAGTCATGGAGAACAGCCAGGCCCTCCAGAGGATGTTTCAGAGCAGAGCAGCTAGCTTGTGTTTGAAATCACATGAGAAGAATCCTCATGGAATATCCCTCCTCCCAGCGTTACAAACCTGTGTGTCTGAAACGTGGCCAACATAATGCCCATCATAAAGAGCATTCTGCAGGGTGCCATGTCCACCCTCCCACAGCCCATTGCCTTCCACGTTACTTTCACCACCTGATCAGCATGGAGAGGCGGGTCACTCTTTGAGGCAGGAGAGAATCCTAGAATTGTTTAGGTTGGAAAAGACCTCTAAGATCATCAAGTCCAACCCAGCACCACAATATCCAGCACTAAACCATGTCCCTAAGGTGCCACTGAAAAGACATCTACATGTCTTTTCACTACCTCCAAGGATGGGGACTCAACCACTTCCAGGTTCCCCAGCCAACCTGTTTCAGAGTTTGACAACCCTTTATGCGAAGCAATTTTCCCTAATATCCAACCTAAATTCACATTGGGTACACGGGTGGGGAAAAACATGGCTTTCTGCTTTTCAGGGCATGAGGTGTTCTAAAAGCATGCAGGTAGGTGCACTGTTGAGCAGGCTCCAGGGGAATGCTGGCATGCAGGAGCAGCAGCTTGGCTCCCGAGGACAGTGAGCAGAGCTCTGTGCTAGGGTACTCCAGTTAATGAACTGAAAACATTGTTAACTAAGCCAATACCACCAGCCTAATGGAAAATCTGCCTTCGCATATGTTGCGCAATTTTTTTAAATTATTGAACCAACTAGGAATTGTTTAATCAACAAAGCCAACAGGAAACCTTCAAAAAGCAGGAGAGTGAAGAGACATGCGCATGTTTACTGATTAGTTTTGTGCATGGCCAAGCCTCTCAGGTTTCCTGTCCTGCAAAGGGCCTTCTACTTCTTCTTGGGTGACATCTTCAGTTTCTGTAGGAGTTTCTGGTGGCCTCATAGTGTGTGTCTACATCCACCACATTTATCTTCATGCTTCCCTTGTGACCAGGTCCACTACAGGTTTTGTCATCTTGGATCTCACAAATAATGACCACAGCATCATTTGGACATGTGTTTTCTGTTTAGAATGACTGAAGATTTTTTTCTGCATTGGAGAAGTTTCCTGACCCAGTTGTGACTGTTTTATACGAAACATTAAAACTGAAGGCACGAGACATGCTTGCACCCTCCTGTGCGAACTCTTGCATGAGAAGAAAACCGTATTTTTAAATTTTGATGTACATTTATTAATCCATTTCTATGTTTTAGTCAAAGTATGGTCAATATACCTGAAATTTATAATACTTCCTCTAAGTAACAGGGTTGTTACCATTCTAGTCCTTTACTGGACAATGATCCTTTTTCATTATACACACTGGACATGAAACCACAATCCATGGCCTAGCTTTGTTTATTTGACTGTCTTGTCTCTGCTTTGTAGGTAACTGAAGCGTAATCTGTAAACTTTTCAGAGCCAAGACATGGTCTGGTATCTACACCCAAAACTCCATGAGCTCTGAGACACCTGGAAGTCCAGACGCAGAATATTTATAATCCCTAAAATGATAAAGACCTTACATATTCTCCACCAAAAGCTTGAAATTAGGAATGGACATATTGTTCGTCCTTTGGATAACATCTGGGTAACTGACAAGCCAACAGATCCTGATAATACCTGAGTTCAGATCAGAGTGTTTCCAGGCACGATCAGTGGTGACCCATCTGAACTCTGCAACACGAC